AGATTGTTGGGGGCAATATGCTGACTCTCTGTAAACCGCTTAGAGAGGGCTGAAAGCCCTATGAAGCGGTATATAAGTCTACTGCTATTGAAGATTTTACATTATTATATAAATTAAATGCATACATTCTGTATTTTCAGAAAATAAAAATATATACCTGAATTGGGGAGGAAATTTTTGTAATCGAACAAGACGGGCTGCGTTTAGGACTTGAACTTCGATACATCTTCTTCAATTTTTCTACTTCAGATTTATAATAATCTTTCTCTTCTTCTACTGTTTTTACAAAACTGTTGAGCTTTCCGTCTGACTTTTCAACATCCAGGGTCGCCTTTTATGTAAACGTGAAAATGCACAATTACTAAATCCCATGTTTAAAGTTTTATAGAAATTCTGTTCATAAGAATCTAAGTATTTTATTTACTTTTAATTCAAAGTTGTCATATTATATTCTTTTCTGAAAAAATTATTAGTTCTATGAATTTGTTAAGTAAAGGTTGGCAAGAGAAAAAAATCCATTGACTGTTAAATAATGAATGCTATTATTTAACCTAAAAATTTAACAGAATCGATTACATGTATCTTTTCAAATTGAAGAATGAAGTTTAGATGAAGTTCAAATCTACTAACCCATGTATGGTTGTAGCATTTTTATTATGCCTCCTATCTTCTTTACTACCCCCTTATTGGGATGATGATGATCATCATCATCATTATGAAGCTCATTGAGAGCTTCCGCACAAGAGACAAATTCCTTGTGTATCTAATTATACTTGGCCAAATAAAGTATTCTATTTTATTCTGTTCTGTTCTTTTCATATGAATTTCCCAGGAAAATTTGCTAAAAAGCCCTGGTAGTCATAAAATAGAAAGTTTGGAACACAGACATTATTACTTGTATAAATTACTTAAGATGTATATCATTTACTATTTCGCCCATGTTGTGTGACTTTTATATTTCATTCTCTCATGTTCTTCCAGCAAGGCCAGACTTTGAATCTGGAATTCCTCTTGGACACCCACTCTTAGATGGATGTCTTCATTCAATTTGAGCTGGTGTATTAACTGCAGCTTAATCTGGATGCACTGAAGCAAGTCACGTATGCCCTTCTCATTTCTCATTTGTATTATTATATTACAATTCATTCTACACAAGCCTACCCTTAAAGATCACCCAGAAACTTCAGTGATCCAGAATCATAAATAATTTTAAATGCTTTAAACTTAGATAACATTTTCTCAAAAAAAAAAAAAATGGCAACAAAGTCTCTGGTACTCCAATGTAAAGTCTGGCATGGTCCTAAACCAAAAAGATTGACCATCCTGATTTTAGGCCTTTGCCCCTATTTTTATTTTATTCAGTGCTCTGGTGTTTCTCTTGTATTTTACCTGGTCTTTTAGCATTTTTACTATTATATCATATTTATAGTTTTTATCTATAGCTCATGAAGTAATTTTATTCTCTTTAATTAGTTATTGTGGAGTTTGTGCTTATAAGTCTATAATATTCATAGGTATACAGTACCTTAAACTTTTTTTAGTGAAATAATTTAAATGTCAAGTAAAATAAGTATCCAATTTAAAACAAGTGAAATAATATACACTAGCAAAGGAAACATACAAAAAACTTACAGATTTAAGAATGCTGACCGTATGTTCCAATTTTTTAATAGTATTTTGTTGGAATTTAATCTGAGACTAGAAAGAAAAAATATTTAAGTATTTACATGACAAGATAACAATATATTTCAATTATTCCATAAAATAAACTGAAATAGCAATATGGCTATGGTGAAATACCAGATATGTAACAAAGATAGAAATAATGGTCTCACTTCTCTCATCTTGCAGAAATCACATATTTATATCTTTCATTAAAAAGCAATCACTCCATGTAAAACTATGCATGCACATGTTAAATCATGGATACAATAATCTTACAATGTAATTAGAACAATACAGATACTCTCTGTTTATGAGAGCATTTAGGACCAGACAACCAAGAAATCACTTAGCAATGACAATCCCAGTTGCTAATGTAATCCAGGAAAAAGTGGGAATCAGATAAGGAATATGGTGGGAATAGGAGATACTACAGATATGCAATGCTGAATGGGAGTGGATTGGTGGGGTCTACAAGCAGTTTGGTGGAGGAGGTTGAGGGTAGGTCAGCAGAGACTGTGGGAGGGCCAGCAAGAAGTATAGGCAAATGTGGTGATGGCAGATGTGCTGGTGAAGGGCACAGAAAAAGTGCTGGGGAATGTAGGTGGGGCAGTGGACAGGGGGTGATCTGAAGTAAAAAAATTATGGGATCTTGTATTCTGTATAGAGCTCCTCCGGAGAAAATATAGTGGGAACGACATAAGGTTGAGTGATTTACAACCTTCCCTGCTGGCTTCTCATTGATTTTGCTTGTTGAATGTTGGCAGGGAAATCTGCAAATGGGGATCCTGTGATGTGGCTTGTTGCAACACTGTAATTGTGAACTGGGCACCTGAGTGTCTGGCTCATGATCATGGGAACACAGGAGCACTTCTACAGCTGGATCCTTGAAAAACAGTTATAACATAATTTTTTCAGCACTGACATGGTCCCTGAATGAATGGATATGTCAAAGATTATCTGTAATGTTGTGTTTACTGCATTTTTTCTTCCAGTTTCTCCATTAGTTAAAACAAACAATGTAACATGTACTATAACTGCACTGCATATATAAAACATTTCATGTAATAAATCAAGTACCTTGGCTTCTGAAAGTTCCTGGCCAGCACTATCAAGTACAAACTCTCTTTCTTTTTCCAGTTGTTCAGCTATCTTATCTACATGAGCAAGTTCTTTACAAAGATATTCATTCTCACTGGTCAAACTGTCCACTTGGGTTGTTACTTTATCTTTACTGTTAAGTATTTTCCTAACATGCTTCTCCAAATCAAGATTTTCTGTTTTTAGATGTTCAATCTGGTGAGACAAACACATTTATCTATTTTTTTAAATCACAGAAACAATTTTATTAATATATTAGATGAAGTAAAACTTTGCATTCCATTATTTTCACTTACTAATATCTATAAAGCATTTTGAGTCAGCCATCAGCTATGGGATTATTTTGATTGCTGCTAAATACAAATCATTGAAAACAGGCAAGAAGAGTCATTAATAAATCTGTGTTCCCTCTAACCAATCAACCACAGAGAATACAAAATACAATTCGGCTACTAGCTTAACTTCGTGCTGAAACAAAACTCTCCCTAGTCCCTCCAAATACAAAGAAAAAATATCTCACTATTTGGCAAACAACCAAGTTGCTGATATAAGAGAATGCTACCTGCATCAATGTATCATTTTTTTCTGCAAGTACATTCTCAATTAAACACTACACTAAGGGAATTACACTACAATTTTGCAACCCACCACTTTTTGCATCAGGAGATGGGGCAAAACAAAGTACTTTAAGTAAGAAGAGTTCAGTTCATGCTGTATATGTAGGCTAGAAAACCAGCTCAGGCCATTTTCTACTGGTACTTGTGAAATAGCCTAGGCCCTAGACTACATTAATTACATTTTGCTCCCTGTAAAATGTATTAAGCAAGCTCTCAGGGAAGGAAGTGGGAGGTGGGATGCGATAGGTTGAATAGGAAAACAGCCCATTTTCAAATCCACATAGAACTAGCATTACAAATAGCTATGTTTTTGCAATTTGAGCTAAACATAAAGAAAGAATATGGGAAAAGCTTCACAATATTGATTTATTGGATAACAAAAATGCCACATATAGCCCTAAGTAAAAAAGGAGTTTTCAGAATTGGGCTATGGTCAGAATTAAATTTTCTGAAGTTAAACACCAAGGTATTAGGTTAGTGGGTAAATTAATTGAAATGTTCAAAGATATGTTTTAAGAAACAGAGTTTACTTCCATTTGTTTTCTGAAACTCCAAATTTAGACTAAACTATCTGATCTCCATAGCTTGCTCTCCCCTTTGTTCTGAAAGGAATAGATGAGATTATTTATATTATGAATATAATTCACATGTCTAGTGATAGAATGGTTTTAACGTTCTAGCTCAGTAGTTCCCAAAGTGGGTGGTACTGCCCCCTGGGGGGGCGGTGGGATGACTTAGGGGACGCTGAGGCAAGGGGTCAGCAGGAGGGTGCTAAGAGGCAAGGAAGGTGGCAGAGGAGTGCTGGAGGTGGCCCCCTCGCAGAGTGCAATTCTGCCTGGGGCTCTGTTGGCGCCAGTCAGCTGAGCACTTCTGGCAGGGGTGAAATTCAGTCTAACATCCCAAAGACTGGAAGGATTTTTTGCTTGCTCGCTCATTCAAGAGCATACAAGCATGTCAGGCCAGGGGGAGGGCAAGGGGGGGGGGGCAGAGAAAGAAGAGAAGAGCCTTTTGCCTGCATTTCTCCTCTGATACGACTCTGCGTGTGCTGTGCACAGAGAAGACATGTGGGACTCAATGCGGATGACCTTGGGCCTGTATTTCAGGGATAGGGAATTGGCGCTGCCTTACGCAGCAAATCCTAAGTCACTGCATAAGAACGCTCGCCTGCCTGCCTGTCCCACTTTTATAAATGGCTTTACTTCTGACTCCCTTTCTGGCGCTGCGCTGCAAGCTGCCTCTGCAAGAATTGCGCTACGGCGCGCCTGTGCACTGGAGCCACCTCCCCAATCCCTCTTGCACCCGCTCCACACGGACGCACCACTCTCACCTATCTTTACCCCTCCCACCTTAGAAATGCAACACAGGTAAACATGTGGCAGGGGAGGA